CTTACATGTTTCTCTTATACAACAGATACCTTCTGCCATTTTATTACGGATATATCATTATGTTATTAGATAGCTCCTATATATGCAAATCATTGCTTACTGAAACTCTTAAGAAAAATGAAACTGCACAGGTATTTTCTGAAAAAATCTGACCTTGATGCTTTCTGCTCAGGCTCCTGCTTTCTTTTAGGAATTTGGAGCTGCGCTGGAGAGCTGCTTTCCCATTAGACTCCACGGCTTCTGGGAACTAGGAAACAGAACAATTTACGCGTGGTGACTAGAGGCAAGGGTGGGATCCTGATGGGGATGTGAAGGCAACTCCATCAGAATAGCTTCCCCTCTGGTTCCAAACAGGGAAGTCAACTAGATAACAGGCAGGGAGAGTTTAATTGTCCTAATGCCTATTTAACATACATCCTAATTATGGGAGAAGAGAAAGACCACAAGCCATTTTTAAATATACAAAGACAAAAACACCCATTAAATAAAGATCTTCATCGCAGGTAAGACAAGGTGCCTCAAAAATTGGCAGTTGCAAAATAGTCACAGAGATGTATAATATAGCATAGGGAACATAGTTAATAATATTGTAATAAGTATTGTGCCAGTTGGGTACTAGACTTATTGGAGGGATCATTTCATAAGTTATATAAATATCTAACCACTATACTGTACACCTGAAACTAACGTAACATTGAATGTCAACTGTATTTTTTAAAAAAATTAAAAAAGATGCCTTGAGTAGGTATCATGAAGCATTATCATTTTTGTAATAAGAAATGGTGAGATTTTCTTCATCTTTACATCACTTAGTCCCTAGTCTTTATAAAGAAGTATTTATGACTTTAAGAATTAAACATACCACATAATGGCAGAAGCCATAAACAGATCCCACCAGAAAGCAGCGTTGACAAGCATACGTTTAAGCCACCAATTCTCTGCTCAAGCCTCTAAGGAACAACCTCCCACGGTTTTCTAGAAAAGGAAGGCACCCACCGAAGCCCACACGGCTCTTCTTACCAGGCTTACCTCCATCACAGTCCTGAGAGCATCTTCTGCCAGTTTTTCTGATTCTTCAATCAGGCTCCGAATGTTGGAATGGATGTGGGTTGCGCTGGTTGTGTTCAGGGACACAAATCTAACATTTCCAAGGCCACTGTGAAATCAGCATATTTACCGGTGCTAGGATAAACTAAAATTGGACTTCCCACTATTCTTAAACGCCTCTTAGCTTTCTTTCCCATTAGAGCAGTACCATCAACAAGGAATAACAACCTATGGATTCCCCTTTGACTCCAAAAGGAATCTTAAGAAGCAGTGACCACGCTGTCACAACGACACTAAGAATGACTGTTTAATTAATGCCCAAAGAAGAGATGATGGCTGTTTCCCATCTTTGAACCATTCATCTGTTTCTTCCAGCTGCCCTCTTTTGAACTCTCTTCAAACCCCTGCATGTGTCTGGGATGCCACTGAGTCTTTGCATTTATTGTAATCTGTGCTGCTAGGCAATTGCTAATTTTCAAAAAGCTTTCCTAAGCATATGTAAGGCTGCTGAATCTTATTTCAAATGGTGTACACCAATTTGATGAAGTTCACTAGAGGTTTTGCAGGAAGATCAGATAGTATTTCAATCATCTGAACTCCACTCTTACAAATGGACAAATCACTTAGGAACTTGCCAACTGGTAATGGTGCAATTTCATCCAGCCACTCTATCTTGAAAATAAAATTTGACAATCGACACATCTTTGCCTGGTGTGTAACTCACTTCATTTTCTTCCCAAGGTTATTGAGTTGAGTGATTCCCAAACCAGACATCAGCAGTTATTACTTGTTACTACTTGATTGGCAAAATTTGGTGATTTATAAGTAAAAGATAATAATGTTATTTTATTTAACTTTATGTATCATACCAATTGCTTTTACTGCATATACTAAGTAATAAATGTTTTGTTCTAGCTATGTATGTAGTCAGAATTATGTTTTCTTTTTTGGGAAATGATGAAAGATGAAAAGAGAGACACTGAGTACCTAATTCCATTTTCTATTACTGATTCCTGTGGCATCTGTAGGCAGTAGTGCTCAATGCAGCACATAATTTATGCAATATTCTATCTTATGTAGTTTTTTTATAGTCTTCATTGTGTGATCTAATATTTTAGGGCAGTTTCCTCAAATTGGAAATATATTTATTTTTCCCCTTCCACAAACATACCCAACACACAAAAACACATATTCCCAGTGTGTCCAGACCATTTCCATCCATAATTTGTAACAAATTTTAAATAAATAAATTTACCAATTAATTCAGACTATGGTGCAAATCACTGAAAGGCCTAAAACACTGGTTCCCTCATTTGCTGCTATTAGACCACCTGGGGATATTTTTAGAAAATACATCACAACCCAGATAAATTAAGTCACAATCTTTGAGTGGGGGCTGGGAGGACTAGGTTGGACAAAGGGATCAGTTTGTTTGTTTTTAAATCTTCACCTGAGGATATGTTCTTCTTGACTTTAGAAAGAGAGGAGGGAGATAAAGAGAGAGAGGGTGTAGAAATATCGATGTGATAGAATCATCCATCAGTTGCCTCCTATGCCTCCACCGGGTATTGAACCAAACTTTTGGTATATGGGATGACATCCAACCAACTGAGCCACCCAGCCAGGGCAAGGCATCAGTATCTTTGAAGTTTCCCAGGTTATTCCGATGTGCAGACAAGTTTGGGAACCACTAGCCTAACACGGTACTTCTCATTTAAAGACACTTTTAACAAGTGAGGACATATACCCCAAAATATAAGTTTAAGTCATTGTAATGCTATGGTAGACCTTCAGGTAGTAGAAAATAATCAGAGGTGGTATAACACTTCTACAGGTCCAGTGTGGGCAACCACAGCCTCCATCATGCATAAAGCCAGACAAAGGGTAAGCTCCAAAAAGGTAAGAGATGTAAAGAAGATATCTTTGTTCTGTCCACATGTAACTGAACAAAACCCTGAGCACTTAGTAGATGCGGAACAAGGTCTTGATGGCTTGATATTGTAGCACTAGAGGCCTGGTGCACAAAATTTGTGCATGGGAAGGAGGGTCCCCTTGGCCCAGCCTGCACCCTCTCCAATTTGGGACCTCTTGGGGGATGTCCGACTTCGTCTCGCAATCCAGGACTGCTGGCTCCTATCTGCTCACCTGCCTACCTGCCTGATTGCCCCTAACCCTTCTGCCTGCCTGATTGCCCCTAACCACCTCTGCCTGACTGATTGCCCCTAATTCCTCCCGGTCTCCCCCAACTGCCCCCTCCCTGCTGACCTAGTCGTTCCCAACTGCCCCCCTGCTAGTCTGGTTGCCCCATGCAGCCTGCTATTCAGTTGTTTGGTTGCCCCTCACTGTCCCCGCTGCTGGCCTTGTCACGCCACACAGCCTGTCAGCCTGCTGTTCGGTCATTACTGTTACTGTGAAAGTGTCCTGGATAATTTGCATATTCTTCTATTATTAGTATAGATTATATTTTCTTAAATGCCTATTGGGTTCAGTTTGCATTTCTCCATCTTATCTTTATGCCAATTGATGGTCAACCATGTTATCTGACATGGAGGAAATCCCCCTTACCATGTAAACAAAACAGGAATCTTCATTTTTAGACAAAAAAGGAAGAGTGACTTAACATTGTGATTAAAACAGTCATCCTTATTCTCTTTGATCAATGGATCACAACCTCTGAAGTTCCTGCAAAATGTGGGCTCACCTGTCCAGAGCCCCTGCTAGTTCCTGGAGCTCAGCTGCATGGCCCTCAGCTCTGTAGACAAGGTCAAGCGCTCTTCGTTTGGACATCTGCATGACCAGGTCATCCACGTGGTGCCTGATTCTGGCAGTCCACCAAAGCAGCTCATCCCGGTGATGCTCTAATTGCTACATAGATAAATCAATACTGTGAGTATATAGGCAGCTATTCAGCAATGTGTGTGTGCATATTTATGATTTAGAAACTACTAATATATTTTGGCTGTGCTGAGTAGAAACTTACTGCTAGTGCACTTTGTGCAGCCTTTGCACGTGCTGTGGCAGCATCCAGCAATCTTCTTCCTTTGGCGATAAGCACTGAGGTCAAGTTTTGTTCTTCTCGAACATGCAGCTTTTTATCCTGTAGCAAAAATCACCTTTAAGGATGCTTCATTAAGCAAGTCAGCTTCCGAACACTGGGGCCTGACACTGTGTGTTGAGGTAGTGTTAGGGGGTTCGTCTTTTAAAAAGCTGAAATTCGTATTATTTACATTTGGTTATTAGCTTGAACTGAGGAGAGAGCTGTTAAGACTCACATTGAACTCTCGCAGGCTGGCCTTGAGAATGAGCAGGAGGCGGCTGCTTTCCTGCGTCTTTGCCTCTGCTTCCCTCACCAGGTCTTCTGCTGCCTGCAGTTCACTGTTGTGTTTTGAAAGGAGGCTGCTTGCAGCTTCTTTTATTACCTTCAACTCTTCCTGTGGCTTCTGGTAATTTTTCTGAATTTGTGACAATAAATCTTCAGCAGCCCTGACAAATATAGATGGTTCACATAGTAAGTCAATGAATGACAAAGCCTCTGTCATTGAAATGATAGCAGAGGGATTTTTACACTTCCGTGCCTCGTTTTATAGTGTGCAGTAAGGGAACAGTGGGCAGAAGGCTGTCCTTCAAAGAGCCTGCTTGCAGGTCTGTAAAATGTTCCCATTGTTCTCTACCTGATGCCAGTGGCTCACTGCTTCCACCGTCTGTGCAAACAATGTGGTTTATGCTGAACACCTGCTTTCCCTCTGGGACTGTGGAATTTGGGCACATGCTGGGCAGAGGGTGCCCCCCAATAAAAACCACGAATGCTGAACCTCTAGTGGGCTTCCCTGGGCAGAAACATCACCACGTGCTGCTGCATTTTCGTAGCCGAGGGAAGAGTACACTCTGTGCTCCCTCAAGGAAAGGAAGCCTGAATGGACACCTCAAGGCTCCACCGTGTCTTTTTCCCCAACCCAGCTGTGCCTCCTTAATACATTGCCATAGGTATATGGGCCATGAGCACAACTCTACACTGAGGCCTGAGATTCCCGGTGAAACGGAATGTGACGGTGCTCTAGGGGACCCTGACACAGGCATGATAAGCAACTAATTTGTGTGCTAAATATTCCCAACAATAGGATTGCCATAGTTCAGCACAAATTACTAATTTTCTAAGGATTATCATTAGAAAAAGCTGATAAATTCCTAAAATAATCCACAAAATTTGAAATAGCCTAAGAACAGGGATTATCCATAGAAAATAAGAGAGTGGAGAACAGAGAACACATTTTAAACTTTAATATTTAAAATAAAAGGTCTTTTTAATAATAATTTAAATTAGCAAATTAAAAAGAAAGAGAACAGCGATCTCAAGAATAACTTTGTTCTAAATAAACACACAAGACCAACAATGACAGAGACAGGGTGGCCACAGGGCCTAGCAGGCGAGGAGAGTCGGGAGCACTGAGGGCGTCAGAGGGGAGCGGGGCCCTGCCTTCTCCCCTTCCTCTCAAAGGCTCTTCAGGGAATGGACTTTTCGTAATTAGACTACGAGATCCTAGTGGGCAAAAAGATCTCTATTGTTCTCCTTTGTGTCCCCAAGTCCTCGCACAATATCTGCCACTGGGGGTTCATTTTGCTGAATGAACAAGTGAGCTGATGTGGAAGGGTAATGGTGGGAGAGGATGGCCCCACAAAATGACTCCCATGGATCTCCAGGGAATCTCCGTTTCTAATAAGTGTCCATCAGCTCTTAAGTGTGGCCGAGGGAGGGAGCAACTGAGAGCCCAGGATGAGTGGGAAACGGATGGGTGGGGGGACTTTGGTTAGTGGAAAGGGGGTGGGGCTGGTCTCTCTAGTTCTCCAAATCCCACCTGATGCCTAAAATCATATTCAATAATGAAAAAAGGTGTAAGCTTAATTCTCCGGGATGTTGCCAGTAGAAGTGTACATTGTTTTAAGTACTCTTTTAGGAAATAATTTGTAAATGCAAGTCAGGAATCATCAACATGCAAATTCATTGGCTAAATGATTTCACTTCTTAATATCCACCCTAGTAATATAATAATGTGAAATATAGAAAAATATTTTTGTCTACGATATCCATCACAACATTATTTAAAATAGCAAAATATATTTAAAATAGTTTAAATGTCACAGTATAGAGAATGGAGTTTTGTGTAACTATTTAAGCCAGTGTTTAAGATATTTATCACAACCTTGGAAAAAAGATAGCTTGTGCTATATTACATCAAGTAATAACTGTGTGAAAATACTAAGAAAGATGCCTGAAAGGAAATTACAAGTTCCTAGTGACCATGTCTAACAATCCTTTGTGATCTGTCATTTCACACTGAGGTTTTCAATTAGAGTTTGCATAGCTAAGTTGAATTATTTTGGCATAATGTCCACCTATCTTAGAGTTTACAGCACAGGTAGTAGCTGCTGATTAATTTTCTTCTATGATAACTGATTGCATTATACTTGATCTTCAACAAATACAGTACCATGTTGCTGAAGAGACAGACAGAAACAAAACCCATGGCCTACCAGCACAAACACAGAGCTATTGGCAGTGATTACAATTTTCTCTATTTGGAGGGCCTGGCAGGGTCTCTTCATTTACATGACAATGGGGCCCCTCTTCTCTTGTGACATTTCTTCCACAGTGAGAGCTTTCCTTCTTTTACCTCCTCCCACATGCCTTTTCCCATCTGTACTGAGGTTCTTTCCTCTAATTGGCTATGTCGTGAATGGCAGCACTTAGAGACTTACTTCAGTTCAAGGGTAGCATTTTGGTGCAACTGCATAAAATGCCTTTTCTGTAAGGTTTCTAGCAAAAATGTCATGTTCTTTTGCATATTCTGAAGAGTGGAACTGGGTAGCTGGAAATCTTCATCCAAGGTCTGATTTAGAGTTGATGCCTTTTCAATAATTTCTATGGAGAAAATTTATCAGTCATTTAATAAGCCTCTTAAAAGTGGGCGGCACTAAACTGGAAGAACTTAGACACTTCTTCAGTGAGGCCGCTCTGTTCAGCTGAACTGGTTGAACCTCGAATCTACGCCAGGCCCGCTGTACATCCCAACATACTCTGGACATCCCCTATCAGAACACTCATGGGGGCCCTGGCTGGGTAGCTCAATTGGTTAGAGCATTGTCCCAATACACTAAGGTTGCGAGTTCGATCCCTAGTCAGGGCACATACAAGAAGCTACCAGTGAATGCATAAATAAGTGGAACAATAAATCGATGTTTCTCTCTCTCTCCCTTCCTCTCTCAAATGTCAATAAGATAAAAATTGAAACACACACACACACACACACACACACACACACACACACACTCATGGACTTGAGATTACTGTTTATTTAATGTTAGTTTTCCCTAGTGCCCTTACTCTCTGTAAGGCAGGGGGCTATGGCCACTGTTACCTCAGCATTTCCTGCACTGGACACAGACATTTGCACATAAAAGCTGTTCAACAAGTATTTACTGCATGAATGAATCACCAATACTTGATACTACCCTTCTTATTAAGCATATTATTTATTCTAATAATCTTCTTATCTTTTGCCCTACAAAGTCTGATCTGCATTGGATTCTGTACTTACTCTTTACTGGTATGTTCTTACACAATAATCCAAAAAGAAAAGCAAGAATATATTTCTTGTGGCTAGAAAACTGGAAAAAGCAACCTAAAAGCCAGATCAGACGGGACATCCCAATCGAGCAGTGAGTAAATTACTCTAATATTGTGGCTGCACTCTGGGACCACACTGAAGCTCCACATCACATCGGCTCCTACTGTGGGCAAAGGAATGGTGTCGAGAGTTAGCTCAGCGACTCACATGGCACTGCTGCCTTGACATCCATTTTCTGTGGCCAAGAGGCCTGCAGTAACCTTAAACTAACACTTGCCCCCTCATACAAGCATGTGCCCTAGGCAGTAGCCACAGGGTCAGAAGCTAATGTAAGTTCCTATGGTGAAGCCCCTGTGATCAACAGTCTCCCCTGCCTCCCAGAGCCTCCCCCTGTGTGCCCCAAGGATAAGACCCCTGTGGAGCTTACCAAAAGTCTGCTTTTTGGGTTTGGGCCTTAGCTCAGGAACCCCAAAGCACTGCACCCACGGAACCAAATAAAACAGGTGCCCAGGTTCTGTCTGTCAGCATCCCTGCCTTGACTTCTCCATGTGGCCCTTTGAGGCATGCTGGGTACTTTCTCCAGGACCTGTGACTAAAAATTCCTCTATTTCATTTTCTCCTACGGTCTGTTGTTGGACCTTGCTTGGCTCATCATCTGGCACCCTGTGCACCACTTAGCGAGTCTTAATTTGGGAAATTCATAACAGATGGGAAGGCACCACATCTACTTGACACTTAGGACGTAAGTGTAGTACATCATATAGAAAATAAAAAAGGAAGCGTGCATTTCTTAAAAGATAAAACTCTCAATGAAAGACCATGATCTGGACACATCAGGATCCCCAGTCCTTGGTTCTAGCAGTTGAGCACAAGTAACACACATGTATTCATATGTTGTATAGAGCGAATGGGACTTTTCTTGCAATGAGCATAGACTCCCCAAGCTAGACACTGACCACACTACCTTGAATGCTTATCTTCAATTTCTCAGTAAATGTCATGAGATCTTGACTCTCGCTGAGGAGTCTTTCAGTCGCCCTGGCCACATGTTGGCTACTTGTTAACACTCTACTGAGCTGATAGAAAATAAAGGTCTCAGGTTAGTCTGACTTGAATAATATGAAGCTTTGATGCTCAAGTTGTCTCTTTTAAATAACAAAATATATTCCAGAATATAAGTATTTACACTACCATCTAAACCAAGGTTGATATTTGGGGATTGGAAATTAAGTGGTTAATGAAATAATTTACTGCTAACTTTGTATGAGAGAAGATGACATATTTTCAAAAGCAGCCTAAGTGGTTATTATACCACAGATTCTCTCAGAGTCTCTACTATGAAGATTCGATATTCACCTTATGACCCAAGTATACAGAATGAGAAAGAAAAATCTTAACCAATTTTTACTGACCGCGAGAACTTATTCAAGGAGTTAAGAACACGGAGTCAGATAAACCAGGTTTTAGGCCCAGTTCTGCCAACCTGGAGACCTAGACTAACATCTTCTAGCCTCCCTGATAACCTGGGTAATAACAGCACTTACCTCATGGAGGGGCTGAGACTTACTGGTAGCTGTCCTCAGCTGCTGGTTTTTGTTTTTTTTTTATTAGGGAATGTCATAATTGGTAAAAGGAAAGGTTGTAATTTCCAGGAATGTAAAGTAACTCAGACTAGGTCTAAAAGTGTTTTATAGTCAAAATCCAAAGAGAATCCTCTTTTATGCATAGAGAGAATTTATTTAAGCAGCTTATCATTTCCTACCAAATGTTTGCTCGCTGAGGCACATAGAGCCCACTCTTAAGCCTTAAACTTGCCCCAAATCATTACTAATTTTAAATAGGAGCCAAGCTAATTCTTATTTTTAGGGTGCACACCACTATGTATGTGTGTAGATGTTGAGAGACAAAGAGTAGATACATCTATGTATAGATACACTATTATATACATAGCTAAGTATACACACATACATATGCATGTGCACATAAAATTCATAAGTGAAAATTATAAATTTGGCAATAGGCCCCCTCACCATCTGTGAATAAGGAAATTCCATTCATCTGACATGGGATAAACAGGCTACATTCCCTGCTGACTTTAGAGCAAGCTCACTTGCCATTCAAAGTCAGAAAATCAGAAGCACATGCCTAAAGCCCAAAGGCTGTACGAACACCACACAACCAGCGCCAGGCTGTCCTGGCTCTGCCCAGCAGATTGCAGCAAGTGCTCCTGGTGTCGGGGAAATGCCTCTGAGCACCGTGCTCACCACGTGCTTAGTTAATGCGGCCAATTTAGGAGAAGGAAGAAACCTCAGGATCTTTCAATCCCACCCACCCCTTGATTCATAGGAGAAAATGATGCTCAAATGGAAAGGTGACTGCCCAACGGCTCCCTCAGCAGAGGTGACAATAGAAATTAAGCCAGGAGCCTTCCCCGCGAACACATTTCTGCCAAGGTTAAAACCAATTTGATCATAAAGTCCCTGGAGCACAGCTTCTGAGAGGCAGAGACTGCCCTGACCTAACTGGAACCTCCAAGACCGCCCCAATGCTCATAAACGCTGGGTGGGAAGTGAACCTTTTGTGTGAAGAATTTACCTCCCTTTGCAGGTCATCTGTTTGTTCTGTAACACCTTCAAGTTGAAGTTTTACCAGCCCCTGTTGTGTATTTCCTTTTAATAAAGACTCCTACAAAGAATGAAGAGAACAAATCACAATGCTTCAAGATAAATGCTCTGATTCACTGGTTATCAACTATTTTGTTCACAGAAATAAATTCTTCTTTCCTTGAAATTGCATTAAAAACAAAATGAATCACATTTACTTAAGTTTTGATTATAGCAACATGTTCCCATTTGCCACCTTTTGCATAATACTCCCCATTCATGCCTGGCCGGTGTGGCTCAGTATTGAATGTCGATCTATGAACCATAAGGTCACGGTTCAATTCTCGGTCAGAGTACATGCCAGGGTTTTGGGCTCAATCCCCAGTGTGGGCAGGCAGGAGGCAGTCAATGATTCTCTCTCATCATTGATCTCTCTCTCTCTCTCTCTCTCTCTCTCTCCCCCTCACTCCCTCCCTCTCTCCCTTCCTCTCTGAAATCAATAATATATATAAATATATATACATAATATATTCCCCATACATACTAGTATATGAATTTAAAGTATGTTGTATTGTGCAGAATCCATTACTCCTGCTATTCTTGGGTAAGTCTGGCTTAATTTCATTAGAGTTACATCAATTTTAACCATAATTGCTAACACTTTTAAAATTTCACTTTTAAAACTTATTAGGCTTAAAAAAACTTATTAGGCTAAAATACAAAAGTATTAAGTAAGTCTTCATAATCACTAACAATTAGTGCTTAATTTATGCCAACAGTCTTCTAATTTTTTACTTGCATGATTGTATTTAAACCTTATAACAACCCTATAAAATGGCTATATTATTATTCGGGGGAGGGGGGGCTAATTAAGTGACTTGGCCAAGGTTGCTGTGTAGATAACAATGAAAACAGTAAACAGTTAAGAGTTTACATTCTTAATCTAGTGCAGAATTTAGATAAACATAAAAAGTTAAAGGAATTGGAAAGTGGTTTAAATGGGAGCAAATCATTCAAACATAGTTAAAATTGACATATTCATAGATAGAAGGTAGGCTAACAGCTGTTGGCAGGGACTGGGGATGAGTGAAGGGATTGAGAAAATAAAAGAGAGAAAACTCTGGGTGATTTCTGGGTAGAGGGGGTGGGGGAAGGTAGAGGAGGGTATGGGAATAAATGGTGAACATAAAATACAATGTACAGATGATGCGTTGTGGAATTGTGCTTCTGAAACCTGTATAATTTTATTAACCAGTGTCACCACAATAAAGTCAATAAAAAGAAAAAAATATTTAAAATTTAAGGCAAGAATTTATCTCACTTGATAAATTTAAAATATAGTTATATGCCTGGGGCCCCTAGTGATAAAAAAAAAAATAGTATTGGTAGATTGTGTCTATAGTGAGTGGAAAAAAAATTCATATTTACTGGTTTTTATTTTAAAAATGAACACACACACACACACACACACACACACACAGGCACACTTGCCTAAGGAAATGTCTAGTCTAAGCAAAGCTTTTAACTAAAAAATACAGTCAGGAATGACTATCCTTGACACAGTGAATTAATTATCTCAAATTCTAATGTATAGGTTTTTAAGGAAAATTAAGAATAATATTTTTTCCAATTAGCATTAAAAATACTAGAGTAGAATGCTGTCAACTGAGTCTATTTCTAACCACGACCACCACCACCCCTTTTTGGAACCCAGATCCTATTTGACTAAACATAAAATGGTGATATGCCCGCAGAGATTTTTATATAATCTTCCAGGTTAAAAAAAAAACTTTTGCGCCTAAAACTCCAGTTAAGAATAATACATTTACAGAACATAGTTATCTTTAGCAGATTCCAACATTAAAGAAGATACCACCTCAACTTATTTCCTGTATTTGTATTAGGACAGCTATTTTCAAATAGCCAAGGTTTGTCTTGAAGAGGCACAAGGGCACTTTGTGCACAGGTGAAGAACAATGTGGGGTAGAATTTGTGAAAAGGCATCTAATGAATAACTCATAAACAATTAAGGGTCCTACAGTAAAACAAGTTAGTGTTGGACAATAAGGTCCCTGGTCACGTTCAAGGGAAGGCTGACACCTCCCAGCAGTACACACTGTGAATAAGGGAGCAGGGGGGACAGACAGAATGACTCCTACTGTCCAGCCCAACTCCACATCTCTCAATGATGCATCTCTGTATTCCCAGTACCTACCCGGAGGTATTTGGTTGTATTTTCCAGGTCTGACAAAATTCCATATGGGACGGGAATAATGCTGGTGAGGTTCACAGAAAGACTGGTATCACCAACATTGTCTAAGTCACCCAGCAGCACACCCACGCATTCATCATCACAAGCTAAAAGAAAAAGAAAGTTAAATGAATGCAAAATGGTCTGCACATTTTCCCTTGGGTGTGCATTAGCCATTTTACAATAACAACATAAAGTCATAATAAGGGCAAAGCATACGACAAAGCTTCCAGGAACGGAATCTCACACCATGGGAGGCAAGCGGAGAACACAAGCCCCTATCCTCAGATGGTGACTCCAAGACTCAGCTCAGAGAAGTGACTTCCCCGGTCACACAGGAAGCAACAACTGATCCGAGTGGGTCCCAGGTCGGGTACACGTTGTGTCAATAGCTCCAACCTTTGCAGTGCATCTGCTCATTTGGGACTTGGACCAATGGCAACGAATTTCGAATGTGTTTCCTTGCAGAGCCTGGTCTGTCATTTCCTGAGATAGTTTGCAAACACACCTTCAGCAAATTCAAGAGAAGGAGACTGGGGAAAATAATGGGTGTGTTTTTGCTTAAAACAAACACATAAACAAAAGCTCTTGAATGCCATGATCCTGACATTACTTCCCCTCCATCTTCCCCATGAACCACTGAGAAGACATTTGTAGATGAGCACTCATGTACTTGCTACTAAAATCAATCAGGACTGGAAAAAAAAAACAAAAAACCCACAGCAGCCAAGAGCTGAAGCCACCAGTGAAATCTGAGTAACACAAATGACAACCCACAAAGGTGTTCTCTGCGCTGACACTTGACTCCATTAAAGGGATATTAATGCAGATAAACTATGAAGCTGGAATTACTGTGCTGCTTAGAGTGCTAGAGAGATAAATGCTGCTACCCTAGGACCTTCTGCCTCGGCTCCAAATGCACTATGAAAAGTTCAGTTTGGCAGAATACATAGCAATCCTTGCTTAGTTAAAATGGGACTTTCTCCTGCTGATGCCATAGGGCTCGGTAACAGAAAAACAATAGGAAAACAGTTGAGAGGAAAAACCACCTTTAAACAGTTAGGAAGGAAAATACCCACAAACACAATTGCTTTCCACCAGAATGTGCCTGGGTTCACATTCCTCGCATCGCAGCCCCGCGGCCCCTGGCCTGCAGACGCACTGCCCAGTCCTGCGGTCACAGTCCCGGTGAACAGAGCCATGCAGGCTGCAATCACACCTCTGGCAGGTGCCGCCTGGCATTCCAGGGTTCCCATGATAGCCCGAGGAGCACCTACGGAAAGGAGAATATGCAGGTACAGATCACAGTGTCAGTGCCAGTAAGATAATATATCAACCATTTCTTCCAAGTGAAGTGCAAAGTACACAGTCCCACTTACCTCATTCTACATTTTATATCCTAAAAGGAGGATGAGATAGTCATAAAAGGTGCATTTACTTACCTTAATACATAGATTTGTTTTGGAATATCAATCATGCACAACCAAACATGATACTCTCAAATCACTTTAGTAAATATGTCCTACAATATAAAGCAGCAGATGTGCCTTGCAATTTCCATGCCATAACACCACGACATACCTCTCACAATATTGCCCTTCATAGCCCAGCACACAGGCGTCACAGCGGAAATCGTGATCACCTTCCAAGACACAAGTCGGACTAAAACTGAGAGAAAAACAATGGTTTTTGAATTTTCAGATATACAATTTCAACTCTTGCTTGTGGTACTTGTTCGTTACTCTTAGGGTACAAGACACTGTCCTGAAAATTAAGTGATTACAGTGCACAGTTAGACAAGGTTCTTAGGGCTTAAAATATATTGAGCAAAAATATATTGGGGAAAATAAACATGTAACCACTACTTGTGCAGCTCTTATATCCAAAAGACACTCATTAGACACCTGTCCAGTGACAACCATGTGAGGGGAAGGAGGCAGATCTTACAGATTTCCCCTGATTAGTCACCAAACAAGAAAGCTTCCCAGGTGAAGGGTCTTGTTCTGAGATTTAGGTGAAGAATTACCTGACTTATTAGATGAAAAGGTGATTACAGAGAGCTGTACATGATGACTATGAGTAAGCACGAAAACCAGCAGGGAGAAGAGAGTGGGACAAATGCTGGTGAATATAATGGGCTGCAATGACAGGCAAGTAGGAAAGGGTGGGGCAAAGAAAAGTGAAGAGTTGGGGTGGAATTTGAAAATGAATGGACCTAACGGTAGGGACTCGTGTGAAGGACAATTTGAAGCAAAATGATAGAGCTGCTCAGAGTGTAATATCCACTCTGATAATGGATCCCCCTCAGTCATGGACTTCTGCTTTTGGCTTATTCCTTCCTTTCTTTTCAACCACTGCTTCCACATTTTAAATTACCAATACTCCATGCGCCATCTAGAGGCTCAGATGGATACTGCAAACCATTGAAGAAAACCACCTGGGCAGTCTTGGGTTTGGGGCCAGTTAAGAGAAGTTCCAAGAATGAGTTACAAGATTCTCTATCAGCCCTACTTCCCTTTTGAGTTTTTTACTCCTTAAACAGCAAAGGGACAGACTTCAGTGGAAACATAAAATGTGTAGAAAACAAAGCATGCATTTTAGGGCCCGTCAGGTACAGAGCACATTATAAATGTCCACAGACTCCTCCTAGCAGTGTAAACTTTAATCCATTATCATAGGCTCTGGGGATGGTTAGAACCTTTTTTGACTGAAAAAGTAAAATATTCAAACATTACAGAAATATGGGAAGTAGAAAGGTGATATATTCTTCCAAACATTTCTCTGGGCACATATAGCCACGGAGCTATGGATATGAATATACATATGAATATAAACTTTTTCCAAAATGGCATCACATTATATAGTCACAATTAAATAATTAATTGGCCATGTCTCCAATTTTGTACAAATAGATATACCTTATTCTTTTCTCAGTGTTCGTATAATATTTCACTCTAGGTATGTACCACAATGTCTATCCATCCCCTGGAGACAGGTATTTCAGTTCCTCCCCAGTTTCTCATGAGTATAAGCAATGACGAAATGTATCCATCTTTACACACATATGCAAGTATTTCTGTAGTTTAGATTACAGGAGTGGAATTGAGTCAAATTTTATATACAGATTTAATACAAAACATTAATGGTAACAATAAATTTTAGGATGCTTGGTAGTTTACAAGGGAAGTGTACACAGTGCCTCTCCTTTTGTATCCACAGTCAAGCATCGTTTTCTTGGAGATAAGAGAAGATAGAAGATTCAAACAAATATTGAAAAGAAAACTTCATTTTAGTATACTAAATGTGTATATTTGATCTGTGTTCAAGGCTGTGTCAAATATTTTAAGCAATGATGAAATGATATTTATGAATTATAATTTTCATTAAAGCCAAAGAGGACACATAGATATTCCAACTTCCACTTAAAATCTTTGATTCTTTTTGGTGTGCAGATAGATAATTCTACACAATCACCATGAGTGCCAGGGAAAACCTGGCCCCTCTTTCATCACTTTGTAGCATTTCTGCATTTCATCAATCATCACCAAATATAAATTTCTAAACCTGTTCCCTTACACTAAAAAGGAACAGAATTCCTTATGTCATTATTCATAAAATTAATCATAATTCACCTCTAGGCACACTGGATAAATAGGTCGGAGGCTAAAATTGGTCTTAAAAAAAAACAAACAAAACACACACACTAAAAGAAACCCCAACAACCTGAAAGTCCCTTCTTTAATTGGTTCCATTTTCACACCCCAATACCAACACAGATACTTTGCTTTTGAAAAGATTCTCTTCAAGTGCTTGTGAGAATTTAACACTTTTTCTAAAATTAGCCATTCTCAACACATGGAAAATATCAATTAAAACAGACATGTACAGACCCTGGAAACTGGGGCTGAAAACGGAATCACCCCCAGCTTCGGTGGGGCAGGTGTGCAGCGCATCTGCACAAGCTCACCTGGCAGGGCCGCTGTGAGGACAGGTGCACAGAGAGCAGTCAGTGGCTGAGCCCGTCACCTTCCCATAGTACCCGGGAGCGCACACATCACAGTGGTCACCAGACGTGTTATCGCCGCAGTTCTGGGGCCCCATGTTTAAGAAGAGGAAAAATGGGAAGTTGTTAGAAATCATTCTTATCTGGTAATAGCTAAGCATCACCACGTTTCACATCAGTTTATTTTTTAATTCTTACGGAAGGGAGTCTTTTCTTCAAGTTTGTTAAATCATGGAAACATTGCCAGCTCTGTGGCCTTCCTTCATTATAAAACTGTACTTATCCAATACAGCCTAGAAATTACTAATACAATCTTCTTATGGAAAATATCCACAGAGGAGCTAGCTTTTGATCCTTAAAATTTGAATCTAAAATATATAGTGATTTAAAGTGATCTGAAGCACACTGGCTTTGCACATGGTTGGGGTTCAATGATCACATGTAGGGAGTTGAAAGAGCAGAGTGAATGAATAAATGATGTGGGAAACAGACAGTGAGGGAAGAAAACGCAGGGTTTAGAGCAGCACCAATAGACTCCTGCAATAACAAAATCATTTCTAGTTAAAATTTATGTCATCATTTGGACCTAAAATTAGGCTATTAAAAAAATTAAGCTAAAAGACCAAGCAGTTCTTGACATCGAGTCCAACACAAAACCTGCTTTTGTTTGGCCTTGGGCGCTGGACTGGGCCTGCCACAGTGACAGAAGCCACTGAGCAAATGCACTACCTCAGGCTTTATAGTGGGAAGCAAGAGACGATGTAGAGAGAAACCTTTTTTTATGTTTGAAAAACTACTTTTACATTTTTCTTATTAAAAATGATTCCAATATTTTTCATTTAAAAATTGTCTACCTACTTTACTTGATGAAAATAGATTTTATTGGGACCCAGTTGGCCCCTAAAACTGGAATCTGTTTAGAAGTAAAATTTGCAACCACTCTCTTGAAAATGTGTTGTATATATATATATACACACTAGAGGCCCATTTCATGAAATTCGTGCACTTGGGGGCTGGGGTCCCTCAGCTCAGCCTGTGCTCTCTTGCAGTCCACAGTCCGGGAGGCTCCAGAAGGAAGCTGGCCTAAACAGTCAGTCAGACATCCTTAGTGCTGGAGCCTTTCCCGCCACCACCGCTGCACTCACCAGCCGTGAGCCTGGCTTCTGGCTGAGTGGCGCTTCCCCTGTGGGAGCGCACTGACCACCAGGGGGTAGCTCCTGCATTGAGAGTCTGCCCCCTGTTGGTCAGTGTGCATCATAGCGACCAATTGTTCTGTCATTAGGTCAATTTGCATATTAGCCTTTTATTATATAGGATACATGTATGTATATAGATATAGATATGGATATATAGATGATATAGATATAGATATATAGATATATAGATACATATATAGGTATAGATATGGCTGTTAAAGAATAAATATTAGATGGTGAACAGGACTGAAGCAGACTTTTTGGTTTTTGATTGGTAACACCAACTCCAACATTAAAAGCTCCCTCTAACATATGAGCTTCCTGGTTTTCAAGATCCTAGAAAATCAAAGACAAGATGCTCCAAAGAATGGCAAGCAAATAAGAACCTGTTCATGTGAACTGACATGCTATGGGAAGTGCACAGAGAACCTGTCAATTTTTCAACTGGAAAAAGGCTGTGTCCTATGTCTTGGAAGAGGGTAGCTGGGGAGAGGGACCCCCAGGGTATCTCTCTGCTCTTTGGTTTCCCCACCCCCTTTCAGGTCACATTTCTGATCAATCTCTTCTATGATAATACCAAAGGCCCAGTGACATGAAGAGGGAGGAACATCCTACGTACTGGGTGAAAAAATCAAATCCCAAAGGTCTTGACGCCCACCCATACTCTCACAAGTGCTTAGGGAGTGCTTAAGAGACTTTGTCAAATGGAAATGAATGGTTGTACTGCACAAGAGAGGTCTCACAGATAAGACTAAAGAGGAAGGTAAGGTCCCAAGTTCAAAGAGCAAGGCCTCAGGTGCTGAACTTGTGGAAAGAATGTAAGCATCTTAGTGTCTGGTCTGTTTGGGTCGGGCAGCAGTGACGGCATTGGGCCCTGAGCATGCTTTCAGTCAGATGCTGGCCTCACACCTCAGAATAGTGAATGGACTCAGAACCATCACAGGTGACCTGCATGTGCGTGTACCCTGAGGGTGTCTGACTGAGAGGGCTGAGTACTTAGAGCCTGTGGAAACGTGAAAGAAGAGTCTTGTCAAATGTTTTTGCCAATTACTTGTTAAGATACTGCCACTTTTCATGACCAAATTTGAGCTAGTGGCTTGTCTCCATGACTCCAAAGATTAAAACTGTACCAATGGGCAGATGATCCAAGGGCACCAGTCCCAGGAGCAATCAGGGCTGCCCAAAGATGAGTTGAGCTGTTGTGGGAGTGAACTGGAGGTGTGTAAATACTAGTATACATTAAATAACTGCTTAGCATGGATATTGTAGTTTAATCTTAAAATCTGAAGGGACTCTGACAAAAACAGGTCTGTTGCAGCCCTGAACTTCCAAGCTCTAAGCCCAGACACTATTTTCTGTTAGAGTAGGTTTGGGTTACAGTAATTAGCAATGCCTTGTAGGGACAAGGACAGAACACAGATCTTCCATAAAAAAGGGGGAAGAGCAAGAAGCAAACCGCGTTCTGCTCAACACCGTGATTTATAATCTTTTGTCCAGTCTTCTGGCATTATGCATGTCCACTGTGGTGTTACTGCAAAATTAACAGGCCCAGGGGAGGTCTTCTAGGGTTCCAGGTCACATCTGGCCAACCATTCCCCAGGCAGGGAACTGTCTGGAAGCTATCCATCATGGTTTATGCGGGGAAGACTCTGCCACAAACTTTCATGTTCTTTCCTAGTACAAATCAACAAGTTAGCTGAAGATCTTGGAGCTTCGTTCTGGTGAACTCAGATCAGGAAAGGCAAGGTCATCATTTAGTGTCCTGGGAGTATCTACTCTTGTTAAAATAGTTAGCTGCAAATGCAGTCTGAAAGAACTGATCAACTTGTTAAACTGTTCATGTGACCTTCGTCCCTATGATTGGCCAAGGGACCTTCCCACTTAATTACATCTCACTTAATGTTGCCTGAAATCAATTCTCCTTAAATCCTCAGATGATATTTTCCCCTTTTCTCTATTAGCGCTCCCTTTTGCCTGGAGCATGAGCTCATTAGAATGAATAAATTTTTCTTAATAGTGTTGCAGCTATTTGCATCCTCATTAAGTCCATTTTACCTTGGATGACTGGACTAATTCTTTAATTCCACATATACAATGGGGTTAGCAAAGGTTAACGCATATCTTTTAATTGAGAAAAACCATGAAGTACTTCACTTTCTAAATTCACCTATGCACTGCTGTAATTTAGCAATTTCCCTTGTAGAAACTGCTTCTAAATTCCACATATGAAAGATGCTTCTCAATAAAAGAAGAGGAAGGCAGATCTAGTGTGACTGAAGGCCAGCTGGTCCTCATTCCTCTGGGCCACACCCAGGACCCCTAATGCTTCCAGTGTGTCTCTCTTGGCAGGCAGTCCATTTTTCTTCAGTAAGTTATTTTACATGAGGCAAAAAAATTATACAATTTACCAATGTTTCCACATGTTATTATAAAGGATGAGGTTTTAGGAGTAGGAAAAGAATATCGTATTATTCTATGTTATCAATAAGGCCGTGACAACTTAAGCAAAATCATGAGCACAAGAGTTCATGCTCGATTAGGGCCACAAGACTTCTGTCTGGGTCTTGTGGTCCTTTACAATGATCAGAGTTCTCCTCATGTCCCTGAGACCAATCTTGGTCTCTAAGGGGAAGGTGTCTAAGACAGCCACAAGAATAAATTTTTTTTTTTTTACAAATGCAAAAAGAGTACAGAGAAATACATTTTAAACATTGGGCATTAACTTATTTTAATACTTCCAGGTGACTCCCTCAATTTTTTTAAAATATGTTTTTATTGATTTTAGAAAGAGAGGAAGGGAAAGGGATAGAAAGACACATCGATCAGCTGCCTCCTGTAGCTGACTGAGCCCACAACCTGGGCATGTGCCCTGACCAGGAATTGAACTGGTGACTTCTTGGTTCTTGGGTTGATGCTCAACCACTGAGACACATGGCTGAGCTGACTCTTCAAATTCTATGATGTAAAGTTCTCATCTACTGTGACTATAACCACCAGCATCGTTAAGTGTAAGCAAGGCCCACTTAACCAATTCCCAAATTGATGCCTGCAAACAAATTCAAGGAAGCAGAATTTTTAAAGAATTTCCATTAGCAATCTCAGACCACTTAGTTAAAACCTTTCTGAAGAAAACATTTGTGTATCTTACATTTCACTAAATGTAAGCTCTCTCTAAACCAAGGGACTGGTGTGACTTTGAACTGGGAATTTCAATGCTCCCTGCCTACCCTGATTCTAACCTTCAAGCAAGCACCCACCCAAACAAGCATACCAGACACTTCCCCGTTTCAGGGTCACAAGTGTCGCTGTGGTTGTTACAGCTGCAGGGCACACAAGGCGCAAGCAGAAGGCGAGGTCCCCTGTCACCACCTTCCGGAAGTTTCCCTCTGTAGTAGCCAGGTGCACAGTCCTGAGGGTACGCGAAAGGGAAGAAAATGAATAAAAATCCGATTTTAAAATGGGCAAAAAGTTTGAGTAGGCATTTCTCCAAAGACACACAAATGGAAATGCACACATGAGAAGATGCTCAACATTACAAATCACTAGGGAAGTGCAAATCAAAACCATGACACACCACCTCACACCATTAAGATGTCTACTATACTAGTAAAATAACAAAAACACAGACAAAAACCGGTGTTGATGAGGAAGTGGAGAAACTGGAACGTGTGCTTGGCTAGAGGGAACATAAAATGATGGAGTACTATGGAGAGCAGTATGGTAGCTCCTCAAAACTTAAAAACAGAACTACCACATGAGCTAGCAATTCGACTGAAAAGCTAGGTTTGGAACTGAAAGCAGGGTTTAGAAAGATATTTGTATACCCATACAAATGTTCACAGCAGCATTGTTCACAATAGTCAAAAGGTGAAACAACCTATGTAATCTTATTGGTGGATGCATGGATAGACAGAGTACAGTCTATACATACAACAGGATATTTTTCAGCCTTAAAATGAAGCACATCCGGATACATTGTACGGCATGAATTAACCTTGAATACATTACGCTAAGTAAATGAGCCAGTCATAAAAAGACTAATACTGTCTTCTGGTTCCTCTAATCTG